CCCCACTATAAACCTCCAAAAATTTAGAATTTACCACTAGTGTTATTATAACCCAGTACCACAAACAGGGTGGCTTAAATAACAGAAATGTATCATCTCACAGTTCTGGAGGTTAGAAGTCCAAAATCAAGGTGTCAGCGGTGTTAGCTCCTTTTGAGGGCTGTGAGAGAAGGACCTGTTGCAGACTTCTCTAGCTGGCCTGTTGGTGGTCATCTGCCCTCTCTGTCTCTTCACGTGGGCTGCCCTCTATGCCAGATTTCCTCATCCTGTGAGAACATTAGCCATACCAGATTAGGGCCCACCCTAAGGACCTCATTTTAGCTTGATTACTTCTATAAAAACCCTATCTCCAAATAAGGTCACATTCTGAGGTACTGGAGGGCTACAACATATTTTTTGAGGGGGGCGGGGTACGTGGGGAGACACAGTTCAACCCGTGACACCACATCCTTATTTTTCAAACTCTTGATTTTTGCCCCAGAAAACCTGGTCTTTTCAGTGTTCTCTATGTCACTGAAAGGTACTTCCAAATATTCATACCAGAAACCTAGAAGTCCCAGACAGCTTCCTCTCTCCCCTCCCCTAACCCAATCCATGACAAATTCCCATTTATTTTGCTTCTAAACATCCAGGCCATCCATATCTCCTCTACCACCACCTGAGTACAAGCTAAATCATGACTCATATCCATTTGTATTTGTCTCGGTGCTATCCATCCACCTCTAGAGCCCAAATGCTCATTTCAAAGTGTGCATGTCATCTGGCCATCCTCTATCCTAAAACCCTTCAATGGTACCTACTGCCCATTAAATAAAGACATTCTGCCATGTGGCCCCTGCCAACCTCTGTGGCCTTCTCTGTCACCACGCTCTCCTGGACTCACTCCCAGTCTCTCAGAGCTCATATTTGCCATGTCACCTCCTACACAGAGCCACTGCCAATGCTCTTTATCGCCCCCCTTCACCTGCAATCCAAGTCCTACTTCTTCAGCAAAAAATTCCCTCACCATCAGTCCCCCTTCCAGAGCATCAGGACATTTTTTAGCATTCATCACTCAGGCAATTTTACAGTTACTTGTGAAATTAATGGATCAATATCTTTCTCCTCCTCCCCTCATGTATAAGCTCCATGAGAACAGGGATATCATTTTTTGTTATTCACCATTATACTCCTAGCGTTAACATAAGTCCTCTTACACAGTTTGCACTCAAAATATATGGCAATGTTAAAACTCTGGTGGTGCGCTACCAGAATTATTTGAAAACATCCATAGGCAGATCTCACCATAGGTATCAGGGAAGAAGCTTGTGGAATAGTTCTAAAGTGATTTCAGTAAGTGCAGTAATAAGGAATGCAAACAAAAAGATAATTTTAGATACCAGAAGTACAAATGAAGATTAAGGAAGGACCCCTTGTGTGTAATAAGGAAAGAACATTAAAGTTAGGTGCACGGATCTAAAATGAAGCAGGAAGCAAGGCCTACTCCAGGTACTGTTTCCCGTAAGAACCATCAAGTGCACTGAGATTTCTGCCTCATTACAATAATATTCACAGTATTGGTACCTCAGTGGGATTGGGGCACATGCTGACACTGTTTTTACCACTGAAAACAATAATGATGTTCTGTTCAGTTAAAGCATAATGCTCTCTCTACTAACTTGCTTATCTGCATTATTCATCTCTTCAGAAGCATTTTGCCTTTTTTTTTTTTTTAAAAAAAAAAAAAAGGTTTTTATAGCCACAGTTGACCTTGCACAACTTCAATTCCAGAACCTCATTTTACTTACGAAGAATTGGGGAACAGAACAATAAAATGGTTCATTTTTCTGCAACCAGTCCACTGTTTTATATTGAATAAGTTGCAGAAGGCCATCCCAAGCAATAACTCAGCAACCCAAATGTCATTTCACCCAATTAAGAGTAGTTTCTCCCTAGGATCTCTTTATGCTGGTTCACTCTTCACTCCAAAGAGAGCACTAACTCTGTTGATCCAGCTTTTACTGCCCCACCCACAAGGTGACCGTAGCATTTGTCATCCAAATCAGGGCATCTGTGTGAGTGTGTGGGGACACTCTTGAAAATTACCCTGGGATGGCAAGTATAAACCTGAGCAAGCCAGGATGTATGGTCATATTACCACTACATCAGATTCTTCAGAAAGACCACATTTACAGATGTTCAGTAAGCAATGAATTACATCTTCTGGACTCTGAGGAATCATGCCCTTTTAGGGAAGAGGGCATCACTCCTGCCTTACTCCCTCACAGCTCTGACTAGTGTAACTGTAGAACTTGTCCATTTCCATCCCACTCTCTGCCATACTTACCTGACAGACACAATCAGGAAGAGGTGATCTAAAAACTAAACATCACTTCCTTACAAAAAACATAAAAAAGATGCCTCTGTTTAGGACATGTGTTTTTTCTTCACCAGTTGTAGTTGATCATTCACTAACTTGTTATTCTAGAGAGGTAACAGTATGCTCCCTGGCTGACCCCTCTAATTCTTCTCCAAAACAGAAACAACCAACACACACACACACACACACACACACACACACACACACACACACACCTTTAACTTCTCATCAACAAAAAAAGCTGAAAACTAGAAGCACAAGGAAAATTAATTTGCTCGTCTGATCAAAAGGGAAATCTCAAATGCCAGGCAAACATTGTGTTCCAAGCTATTGCTTTATCATTGGGGACTTTTAAGGGTCCAGGCTGAAAGCAAATGAGTAGGATTTCCTGTGATTTTGTGGAGTGGGTTGGAGCCAAATTATGAAGCCAATGTTTGTCTAGACTCCCATCTCTTGAGGGGCTCATGGGCGCTGAAGTTTAACCTGTGTTCAACCACATTGCCCTTAACCACTCCAATGGGCTGACTTACCTTTCCTGATGCCATATGAAAAATATAAATACCTGCTTATAAGGTAATGGAGTACAGCACTATGTGTAATAGAATAAAGAACATTTCCATCTTTCCATCCATCCTGTCACATCACACACTTTATCATTTCAGGAGGCGAATATGAAACAAGTTGAATATAGGTCAACAAGATGGAGTTCTTGCCTTAAAAAGCATAAATTTTTCTTTCAGTAACTATTATTTTAGTATGTCACCATACCATACTCTACAGAGATATAAAGACAAATATTCTAAGCATACTGCTCTCATCATATAGTAAATCCTTATGAACTATGGTTTATATTGTCTTAATTGGATTGGATTGGATTGGATTAGATCAAAAAGAATAAGAAGTAAAGCATCCCCCCCCTTTCATATCATTTTTTAAATGATTTCTTATTTGGGTATAAAGTGAAGAATACATAGAATGATATTTAAACTGCCTTGCATATAGACTACTATAAACAGCCTTTATCCAGCCAGGTAGATTTGATTAGAAAACTAAAAGTGATTTCATCATGATAGGCTGAGAAATTATAATGAATACATTCTATCAAGATGTATTACTTAAAGTAATAATAATTGAATGTAAGATGCTTTAAGTAAACCCTGTTTAAAAATAGCTCATTAGGTATAGGTATATCTTGATACAAACTTTTTATATCACAGATTTACAGACACAGAAATGCTTCTTATAAAAGAAATATATGAGAGTTTTAGTACAATTAGTTCTCTTTAAGCGACAGAAAAAACCCTAACTTATCATACACTATATTGATGTAATACCTAGCTTAGTACATTTATATATTTAAATCACTGAAAAAGATCCTTGAAGTGTAAATGATTTGCCACATTTAGTTGTTAAGCAACTATTTCTACCAGTTAGCAAAGTATTACCTTAAAAGGACAGTCTTATAACAAAGAGATATGCTGCAGACTCCTGATGTTTTAACCTATGTTGCTTTAAATCCACACACTTTGAACAAAGTTCTAATAGTTTCTTGGAAATGAACAACAGCTGCATATAGATGTATCACTTTATTCATTCATTTATTACATATAAAATAATTAAAAACTAATTTAAAGGTAAGGTAGAAAAGGAGAGAACTTTTTAATTTTACATCTTTCCAGTCACCTTAAAATCTCACACAATGATTGGGAGAGTGTTCTCACCGAAAATCACATTTGGCCTAAGGTACCTGAAAATAAAATATAACCATGTTATTTATAAATGAAGAAATTTCCTAACAGATAATTGGACATGCAATTCAACAAAGTGTGTCTAGAATCTTCATGGTTATGCTTGTAGCTCTCCTTTATGGATGACCATTATTCTTTATAAGCTAGCTGATAGAAAAAAAGTGTACACTCTTTATCTAGATTGATTCTCCTTTTGCTTTTTTCTGTCGTGACGGATTTAGCTGAGGAGTATACTGTTGAGCTGTTGCAATAAGTCATAAAAGCGAAACAAAGTCTTTTTCTTCTAGACTTGTAGAACCTTGGAGACTGTGAAGATTTGAGGATTATCTTTTCAAACGTAAAACAACAGAATAAGCCAGACATAAAGGTGTATGTAGCAAATGATTCTATTTATGTCAAGTTCAAAAACAGGTGCAAATAATCTGTGGTCCTGTCAGGGTAGTGGTTACTTACCCTTGGGGTTGGGCCTCTGGAGTGATAGTCAGTGGTGTGTTTTTGGATATGGATGCTGGTTACATGAGTGAGTTCAGTTTGTGACTATTTATTAGCTATTCATTTATCTTATGGATATATGTTATACCTCAATAAAAAGTCCAAAATTTTAAAATAATAATAAAAAAGAATAAAAACGAAAAGCATTCAGATTTCCTTCTCCAATAGTACATTCTAAAGGGACTCCTATTAGTCACAGATAACAATAGCTGTGTTGTCCCAAATCATAAGACTATTTAGCAGCAGAACCAGCATTTCAGATCTTCTGCTTCCATGTCTTGTGATTTTTTTATTTTTTCCAATCACAAGCTATGCTCACCTCTCAGACCCATGACACAGCCTGCTGGCAGGAAACCTGTTAACCTTTGTCTATGACCTAACACCATTTGCCGTGTTAACAGGTGAGTTGTGTGAGGAGAAGCTGGACTTCTGTGCGCAGGACCTGAACCCCTGCCAACACGACTCCAAGTGCATCCTGACGCCAAAGGGATTCAAGTAAGTCCGAGGCTGCTTTGGGGCTCACAAACAGGGGAGGAGGGTCTTTCTTTAAGGAGCCCTCTTCTTTCAGGACCTAGCTTCACACCTGTGCTCAGGACTTAGAGGACATACTCTCCAGTGTCAATGGAATTTTTATAAATGTTTATCTACAGCATGGGCCTTTTTTAGTACACCAAAGAAAAGAAAATGTTCCCTTTTGTTTTGTGACTTTTCCTGGAAAGTCATGTATGAAATAAAATAGCCTTTGGCTATTTTTAATTAAATTTATTTGGAGGCCAAATAAATTCGTAATATCTACTAGGAACTTTATTATCTGAATGGAAGTCTATGGTAAAATAGGGAGTTTCATTTAATGTGACTGAAAATGTTTTCTTATGCAACAATACTTTACCCAAGAGCAGGAAGACAGAGTAACCATATGTCCCAGGTTGCCTCAGTACAATATCCGTTTATGCCTGTTGTCTCAGTGTAACTATTAATAGTGTCTCCTTCACACACGTGTGTGTTGTGTGGGATGATAAAACACACAGTCACACCAGGTAACAGTCTTCCTGGAGTACGTTTGGTATCAAATGAAATTATTCCTTTGCCACAATTCCGAAATATTTTAAGGGTCTATCAACAGCAACTTCTCTTCTTAGGCCGTAGATTAGAAATCATCTGGTCCAAATTCTTCACTTTAAACATGAGGAAACCACAACCAAGAGAGGTCGGTGGCTATCCAGAGGTCTCAGTGTTATTCACTGGCAGAGCTGGAGCTGGGTTTTATACTTCCCAGTTGGGTGATTGTTCTAGTGCAGGTTACCTCTAAGAAGCTTTATACTTTATGACCATTACTGTTGGTTTGTTACAGAAGGTAAGCTGGGTTCTCAGAAATGACACTGTAGTGTTCAGGTTGAGTTGTGCCTACAAGAGACAGCTAGCAAATAGCATTACTGGTTTCTTTACCCAATATTTATTGAGCACCTGCCACGGGTCAGGGCACGAGTAGTGTTACCGTCTTATGTTTTTGTGGCACTTTGTAGCTACTCACTCTCCCATTCTTTATCTTCTCAGTGAAATGACTCAGGCTTAGTTGCCATAGGATTCAGAGAATTAAAAATTACTCCAGTCAGGAACAGTTTTATAAGAGTAGATGGGATTAGAGCTGGGACTCTAACATTTTTTTAAATTTTATTTTATATTGGAGTGTAGTTGATGAACAATGTTTTGTTAGTTTCAGGTATACAGCAAAGTGATTCAGTTATACATATAGATGTATCTATTCTTTTTCAAATTCTTTTCCCATGGGACTCTAACATATTAATACTTGTCAACAGATTATCAGACATTCTTAGTTGAATGGGAGGTGGGGTCATTATCACCTGACCACACCTGGATTTCAAAGACCAATCAGAATAAAATATTTATTCTCAAGTTTTATTTAGAGAACAGTTTTTGATTCAATTTGATTTAAAATTCATTATTTTAGAATATACAGATTCAGTTGCAGCACCTGATGATTCCATTTGATGCCTTTTTGGGAAAGAAAAGAATACATTTGATTCTATTTTTCATTATATTTTAGTTTACAACCCTCTGTGGAAAAAACAAAAGTCTTATTGAAATCTTTTTTATACAAAATCCTGTATTGCATTTTGTTCATCCAAATACTGTATGTAAATTATTTTAATTCATATTGTCTTTGATCTGCACACAATGAATTTGGCAAATTGAACGTCAGTCATTCAGGTAACAACGGTTATCATTTCTTAGAGAAATTGGCCAGTAAAGCAGATGGTTTTCCAGAACTGCCTATCTGCTGGATAAGCTTTGTGCATTGTAATTACAAGATAAAGTATTAGTAACACTTACCGGAAACCATTAAAAACTGAGTAGTTCATCTTCAAGAAGACTAACGATTAATTCAGTATCTTCTATTACTATCAATTAAATTGCACACTTTTTATAGTGCATCTTACTGGATTATGGATTAGCTGATTTGGGAACCCATTGTTTTCAGCAGTAATTTGTGAGTTTTATGTAGTTTAGCAGAAAACAGCTTAAGTCATAGCATTTGCTATTACTCCCATATTATAAATAATCACACACTGTGACAAAGGAATTTGCAAAAAATAAATGGACTTAAAAATAACCAAGACTATATGAAGCTGCTAAAGAAAATTTCTACTGACAAATATTGTTTGGACAAGATGTACTGTTAACTTCAGCTACATTTTCTTACTACTAAGCTAACAGAGCTGGTTTTACTTTTCTTGCTTCATTATATACCTCATAAATCTCCTAAATTGTTTTGAGATATTTTTAGACCATGATATGCCATAAGCAGTATTTTCAAGCATGCATCTTACTTAGTCAGCTTTGGGGCTTCTAAACAGTATATTTTATATTCTTTGCTTTCTTCCTCACTCCTTGCCAGAGTTCAGGGAATGTGATACGTTTTATTGATAATACAAGCTTTAAGGAATTCTTAATTAAATATTTTCTTCCTGTTTTGAAACTCGGTCTAAGGAGCCAAAGAAAGACAAAAATGTTGGTCTCATAATGTGATTCCAAGTCCTAATGGGCTCGGAAAACAGTATCTGTAGAGAAAAAAAATAAAATAGCTCTTAAACAGCCACTATGGTGAATACGTGGTTCTCTTATCTCTTACTTTGATTTCTTTTCTCAGGTAAATAATTCAGAGTGTTTCAAAGCATTTCTTCTTTCTTTTAATGCTCTGTACTTGAGCAGCTCTGGTCAAATTAACATTGATGGAAGCCCTTTTCTTAGGCCCCGCCCATCTTTTTGAGAATGTCTATGGCCACTTAGAATCCATTTAACTTCAGACTTGTTTGCTTTGTTACGATTTAGCATGAAAACCACTGGCTCTAGAGCAAGCATGCTGATGCAGTGAGCTCATTTTATTTCTTAATTCATACACACAGAGCTAAAAGTCTGTGTTACCCTTAGAGGGTATATACTCCCATTTATCTTATTAATTCATCGTTTCTCCAGTAACTCTTAAATCCTGATTTTGCATTTTTAGGCAAAACCCTTGGCATTCAATAATATCCACATTCACTAGGGTGTTTTTAATTATCCTCATTCACTTAAATCCTAGTGGCTTTGAAATAGAAAACTGAATAATTAGTACAGTCTAAACCATAAATACTTTTTTTAGAATTATAAAAACTTATGTAGAATTATTTTTTAAACCTACCATTTATTGATCATGCATTATATATTAACTACTGTAGTAATTATTTTACAGATAGTGTTTTTATTTAATCTTTTAACAAACCTGTGAGATGGAAATTATTATATACATATTACAGATGAGGAAAGGAACACTTAGAGAGATGAAGTAATGTAGTCAAGATTACATACACTTAAGGATGAAACCAGAATATGAACACAGTTCTTCTGCCTAATTGCAAAGTGCAAATTCTATAAGGCTAAAACATAATTTCCTGGTTTATTTGTTTTTTTTAAAGTCAGTGAACCCTTTCTTAAACCTCAAACAGAAACACTTATGGAAGCCCAATGTGTAAAACTAATGAATCACAGCAGGAGAGTATTGTTTGGGGGGGGGCAGTGCAGAGGGAAGCTGACAGAGGCCCCCTCCCCATCTATGGCCATATCTTTGGGGGTTCCATGGTCCCCTATTGCTCCACAAAGCATAGTTTAATAACGACTGCATGTGCCATATTGCTTTTCCTTGGGCACCCTTAAAATCCTGCATCCTTGGTGTCATAGCTAGACATTCCAATGGTCCGCACTGGTGAAAGAGATTTTAAAGGGAACCCTGAGTAATCAATTATCTAACGGTACAGAGCAGTGGTTAGAAATTCAGGCTTTCTTGTCAGATTGCTTGGGTTCAGTTCCTAGCTGTGTACAAGCTGGATGTCCTTGGGCAAGGCATTTAACCAATTTGTGCCTTGTTTCCTCACCTGTAGAGTGGAGTCATGGTATCACTGATGTCACAGGGCTGTGGAGAGAATTCAATGAGTCCATAATGCAAAATGATTAGAACAGGGCCTGAAACAAAGTGCTCAAAGAACATCAGCTGTATTATTATCCCTGGTTCTTCACCATCAGTGCAGCTGAGACCCCTTCTGTCCCACACCACCAGAGTGAACAGGCTGAAAAGCTGTCCGGGGATGGACCCCAGGAATTTTGTATCAGTTCCCCTGCCCCACCCAGTTAGGTCAGCCCCCACTCTGCCATAACGATCATCTGGATTCATGGTAAATTAGGGTATCCAATGCTAACATATTTGCTTTTCATAAAATTATACTTTACTGCAATGCACCCAGTCTCTGTTGGAAAATTTAAAATGTTAATTGTTCTTAAAATATGCTTAATATTCGTAATAAATTTTACAACACAGCACTTTTATCGTGTCAGCAGCTCAAATGAATTAGACAGCTGAAAATAGAGGATACCACGGGCAGATAAAGTGGGGGAAGAAGGGAGGGACAAACCCTGGTGTGATTAGTCTATTCTTATTTGGATTGTGGATGCTCACTGTCATCAGAGAGGGAAAATTGCTGTTCCTCTGAGAGATCACAGTGAGAAACCATGGAATACTTTGCAGATCAGTACTATTTTCTAGGCATCTGTTAATTTTTAAACTTTATGAGCCTGTTCTAAATATGTTTTTGCAAAGACAGCACCAGTTGTTTCCTAGATGAAATGCAACTCTTTTACTTATTTTGGCTCAGTTGGGTTTGAAACTATGTACCTGCTTGTTCAAACAGATGTGACTGCACGCCAGGATACATAGGCGAACACTGTGACATTGACTTTGATGACTGCCAAGATAACAAGTGTAAAAACGGAGCCCACTGCACTGATGCAGTGAACAGTTATACATGCATCTGCCCTGAAGGTTACAGGTAAAAGTGCAAGTACACATTTGTATTTAGAGTTAGGTGTTACATAGAGTTAGGTGTTACAGGGCTCAATTCATATTGGCAATTAAGTAACGTCTAATTAAGTATTTTCTCTGTTTATTCTTCAGTGGCTTGTTTTGTGAGTTTTCTCCACCCATGGTTCTCCCTCGTACCAGCCCCTGTGATAATTTTGATTGTCAGAATGGAGCTCAGTGCATCATCAGGATAAATGAGCCAATATGCCAGTGTTTGCCTGGCTACCAGGGAGAGAAGTGTGAAAAACTGGTCAGTGTGAACTTTGTAAACAAAGAGTCTTATCTTCAGATCCCTTCTGCCAAGGTTCGGCCTCAAACAAACATCACTCTTCAGGTAAGATTCCCCCACTACCAAGAGCTAATCTCATTTTAAACCAATTCAGCTGCCAAATATAAACATATGTGGTGGTTTGTGAGTGATATTATTTCTTAAATAGACAGTTACATACTGCATAGCACAATGACAGAAAATGCTACTTGTATGAGAAGCTTCTATTCTTCTTCTCTCTACCATTTGTGCCTTTCAAAACTAAATGGGCACTAGGTATTTTTATTCACTACTTGATCATATAAAACACACACACAGAGACAAAGCAACAAAATCTCTCTCTTTGTTTTGCGCTCAGGTAATGGCATTTTATTCATTTATTTTTATGGCTCTGCAGTTCAGGTTCTGCACGGTAGTGGGGGGCGGGCGCTGGGGGAGCTTTCGTTAGGAAACCTGCAGCTGAGAACAGCACAGGTGAGACAGAACACACCTTGGCAGAAGTGTCAGTAAGTGTCTTTTAACTTCGACATGAAATTAACAAACTCAAGTATTGTCATAAGTCTTTTCCACCAAGTCACCGTGTACCTTTGAGCAAATCATTCAAACCCCTATAGCCAAGATTAGGCTAGATCAGGGTGATAAACTTAGGGTACCTGGGGCAAATTGGGGCTGCATGTTTGTTTTGTTTTGAATTCAAAGAAGTGTAACCAATTTCCTATAAAACCCACTCCATATTTGGTTTACCCTAGCACTTCAATGAGGGGCAGGGGCTTCTTGAGAAGTCGTGAGGAATGGGACCCTGGAAGGCAGACAAGCCTTCTTTAAAAAAGCCTGGCCCCCTAACTTCCAACGTTTGCCACCCGTCTTTTTATGAGAAGTACGCAGTGGTGTTCGGGCTTAAGTCCGAACTTTTACTGAGCTGGTCCTTCAAAAGCCCGGAAAATTCAGAAGGAAGGATAAAAACAGAGATTTTTCCCCTGGTCACACCATAATTTAACATGTAATAGGAAAATCCATTTTGCTCAATGCAGTCACATTTCACATATGCCATAAATAAAGCCCATAACAGGAGCAAAAAGCAGGTAAGTGAAAATCTCCAGCAAAGGAAATTCTAAGCACGTTCAGTGATGTTAACTTAAGTACTTCTTATTGTTCTTTTGAACAGAACGGAAATGTGATCATTTTGTTTCTGATTAGATTTTATCTTTCTCTGCTTAGACCATATAGTTTGATATCTAAGGGGGAAAGCTTGATTTACTTTAAACACTGTGGACTCTAATGATATGGAAAATATCTTTCAATTTTAATTTGCTGAAGTATAAATTATGTGATGTCCTTGTTTTTGCATATTTCATAGGACATGAATCTTTAAGCTTTATCATTGCCAATATGCAGAAAGTGAATAAATATATAAGTTCATGAATGTAAAAAGAGCTTTTTGAAGTTCTTTATGAATTTATTTGCAACAGAGTAATCCAGGAATAGGTCCTCTTTCAAGTAATCATTTCAATGTGCATTAGTATTTTATCAGAGCCATAAAGAAGAAATAAACCATAGTAAAAAACTCATTACTAAGAAGTCTTGTTTCTTCTTAATGAAATATGTCTGGATGACTGTTTGTCCTAATAATGTCAAGGTTACTTCCCACTAGATTGCCACAGATGAAGATAGTGGAATCCTCTTGTATAAGGGTGACAAAGACCATATCGCCGTAGAGCTCTACCGGGGACGTGTTCGTGCCAGCTATGACACCGGCTCCCACCCAGCTTCTGCCATTTACAGGTGAAGATCTGTCAGTTACTGGTAAAGGTGAAAATAATTGCTTAATGCAGAACGGCTTCTCCTCTCTTATTGTGTCATGGGGAGGGGAGGGAATAATTTGGCTACAGCAGACTTTGGTAGGTGTGTTAGAGGCCTGGCAGTAACAGACAGCATACTCAAGTTGGATAATTAAGGAGAGATTTATAAGAGGACTGTACAAAGATTGGTTGGGACAGTATAGTAATCTGGAGCTAGTAACTAGGTATACTGCTAGTGTCCATGGGTTTGAAGGAGAGAGGGGAGGCAGCAGTTATGGAAATCGATGCTCAGAAAAGGAATTGTGGAGAGGACTGTGTGACAGGAGCTCAGGGAAGGAACCAGGGTTTTAAATACCTGATCCCAAAAATCTCCTGTACCCCTGGTTCCCTCTGGCCAAATCAGATGCCAGAAAACAAGGAACCCACTGATCTCAGTAATATAGCTCACACATGAGCCTCCCAGGGCTCAGAACAGGCTGAAGACAGGTGGAGAGTAGCCCTAGAGAAACAGCTGCAGGATACCCAGCACAGGGACAAATTTAAAGTTACTATTCATGCAACACATATTTATCGAGCACCTACTATGCGCCAGGCAGTGTTCTAAGCTTTCAGCAACAGAGCTCCTGCCCTTAGGAAGCTTACATGTAATAGCCAATGGACAGCTACAAGATGTGTATTATCTGATCATTCTGTTGGAAGTTTTATGATATTATTATGGTATTGATGATATATTGAAGATGTGAATGGGGTGGGATTCACGGGGTGGGATTTTCCTGAAAGTGTGCTTTTTGCATAAGACTAAACTTCAGAGCCCCTCCGTTGCATCTCAACACCAGTCGCCCTGCAGACGTTACCTAGTTGATTTCTTCACATGTACAAATAACTGCCACCATTTAGAGGAAGGTCACAAAGTCATAGGCAGTCCGTTTTTCCAGGCAGATATCTTAAATGAACTGAACTGGCTAATTGCAAGAAAAGAATATTCTTTCATCCTTTTATTCTTGAAAAGATTTTAAGAGAAGCACTCCCCTGTTACAGATAGCCTTGGTGTTGGCAGTATAATAGGAGTGGTTATGACTGGAGTGAACTAAAAGCAAATCTTTGTGAAAACAGGACTAGACTACATCTGCTCAGGTCTCCCTGAATGCTGTCATGTGAAAATGTGGGCCCAGGTTTTGCCAGAACTTGTGATTTTTCAAGAAAAGACAGAAATTTGGCTTTTTTAAATATAAAGTTTTCCCTTCTTCAGTATGGATTCACATTTTTTTTTAAATACCATATGTGGCAAACAAAACACATTTGTAGCCCAAACATGCTGGGTAAAAGTTTGTGGCCATTGATGGAGACATAAAATGGAGATACTGGCCTTTATGATCTTGATATTATACTTATATATTTTCAATGTGCTTCACATGTTAGTTAATCTTTCATAACGGTTCTGGGAAATTGGATGCCCATTGTAGCCATGAATGGAATTCAGTAAGTCCTTTCGGTGGTAAGCTAACTCACTTGGGAATATTTAGAGCATGGAAACAAACACATAAATACTGGTTTCCAAGCAGAATACAATAGTTACTTCATCTCTAAATGGTGATGAATTAGTGCCAATATTTTAAATGTTGCTAGGCCTTAAATGTTATAGCCTCAATTTGTTTCAGCTCATGAAAAGATTTCAGAATATTAAACTTATGGTTCATTTTTGGTATTTCGTGTGTTTGTTTTGTTTTATGCAATGAAACAGCATAAACTGTCAGGAACCATAGTGAAAGTTCTTGGAGTTGACTTACTAAAGCTAGTGTTCACATAAAATGTACTTAAAATATTTCTAGGTAAGTTGTAAAAACCCAAGTGATTATATCCAAATAAGGATTTACTCTAAAGAGATTATTTTGAGTTTATGTTCATGACCATTTTTGCATAACAATAGAGTATACCCTGTAACATCTATAAAAAAGGATAATATCACATCACACACTTTTTGTTATGAACCAGAAGTAGATGTTTCTGCTTGCAGACCATCTAATGGAGACATCTGTTATGAGGTCCAGAGCAAACATAACTTTTATTTATTTCTTGCTTTTTAGATTATGGCACAACAATCAACAAAAGTTAGTGCATTATTTTTATTTTTTTAAAGAAATTTATTTATTTATTTATTTTTGGCTGCGTTGGGTCGTTACTGCACGCGGGCTTTCTCTAGTTGCGGTGAGTGGGGGCTACTTTTCGTTGCGGTGCGCGGGCTTCTCATTGTAGTGGCTTCTCTTGTTGCGGAGCATGGGCTCTAGGCATGCGGGCTTCAGTAGTTGTGGCACGTGGGCTCAGTAGTTGTGGCTCACGGGCTCAGTAGTTGTGGCTCGCGGGCTTTGTTGCTCCGCAGTGTGTGGGATCTTCCCGGAGCAGGGATCAAACCCGTGTCCCCTGCATTGGCAGACGGATTCTTAACCACTGTGCCACCAGGGAAGTCCCAGTGCATTATTTTTAAGTTAAAGAAAAGAAGCAGCAATCACCGAGAATTCAGATAGAGAGATGATTGATTAATTGATTGTGGATACAATATATGGATACTATATATATATATATATATATATATATAATATGAATATAGTAGTATTCTAATTGACATTTTAAAATGCTTTCGTGAAATAGAGGCTACTGAGAACATTAAATTATTTCAACACACCAGGAGAATCTAGTTTTTAACAAGTAATAATCATAGTGGCTGAGATGTATGTGCAAATCTAGGCTTGGCAATTACTATATATAAACTTTAGCAAGGTCTTTAATTTTTATGTGTTTCAGAATCCATATCTGTAAATAATAATGTAACACCTGCCCCATCAATTCACTACAAGGATTTAACTCTACACTCAGCTCTGTCCTCACTCCTCACTCACTTCGTCTTCATTCCCGTCTCCCTTCCAACAATAGAGGAAAATCTTTTTTGGTGTCTCTTTCTGGAGTGTAGCAAGAGTTGAAAGTGAATCCTCTCTTCTCATACATTGACAATGGAAGTACATGTTGTTTACAATTTCTATGGAGAGCAATTTGGAAACATCTTTCCCACTACTGGGAATTTACCCTAAAGTTATACCTGTGACGTAGAAATGGCATACGCACAAGGTAATTCACCATGGCAGAGGTTGTAAAAACAAAAGTTAGGAAACAACCCAAGTTTCTAACTAAATAACTCCAGGGCAGCCACACAATGGAATGTGCTGTTAAAAAGAAAGAGGGAGTGAGAGAGGGAAAG